ACTGTCAGAATAATGACATTTATTTGGATCAAAACAATACAACACATCTGTAATAGAATTGTCTTTAGTAAACTTTGAAAAAATAATATTAAAGTCCATAAATGACAATGGAGCTCCTTACCTCACAATCTTCATATTTAATGTTATCGGTTAATTTCCACAGCATTTTCATGGGTTGCTGAGGTGGATGTTGAGTATAGCCTATCGCCCTGCTCTTGTTTTCACTCAGTGAATTGTTCTCCCCGCTCAGAAAAAAAAACTAGTTTCAGTGAAGCTGCAGTGGGCTGCTGGCTGTCTTGCGCTCTAAGGTCTCCCTCTAATGGTGGAAGTGAAGGGCTGGAACAGCTCTGTAATACCACTGGCACAGGGCCTCATTAGCATATCAACAGCCGTTTGATTTCCTCCATCTGCTCACACAACATCGACGGACGACGCACAGGTAAAAACTAAAGCAGCAAGACGCTGCACATGCTTATTGTTTCTACTGTTCAGTGAGGTGTGTGTTTGTTCAGGAGCGGGTGCGTGGGGACCTGTATGCACCTGAGACGGGTTCCGATGTTATCTGACATGGCAAGAGAAAAGCACAGCACACTCCACGCATGCTGTTTAAAGGAGAAAGTTAAATTTTTGTGATCAAGATGGAGCAGAGGTCTGTTCTGTGAAACACCTCTGTGGGTTTCAGTGTAGGCTCCAGTGTCTCAGTGAACACTTCTTCATGGCTTGATGTGAAGACAGCATGCCTATGCAAATAGTACCCTGTCACACACTTTGCTGGTCAACCTTGATTTTTTTAAAACTCCCAAACTATTATTTTAATCCCATTGAAAGTGGAGATCTTTCAGTATTCTTTCAGTGTTATGTTAAAGAGGCGAGCCATTCGGAACGGCTCTACAGGTTCATTGACTACCTGTAAGGGCCAGGGTTTGGGGGACTGTAAATAATTAACACAACAACATGGCCTTGATTCATTTGAATGACCGGCTACGGGAGCCTGGCTCTGCCCTACCGCCGGCAGAGGCTTCACCTCAGCAGGCCCTGGGTCAGCAGACAGGTCGACAGCTATTTAAGGCGTTGGCCCGTCTCTTTAAAACCAGGATTACCATTTTTGGTGGAGTGCTTTTTTTACGAACAGTTGTTATTCATGAGCAGGCAGCTATGAAACTGGCTGACAATGACAACAATGCATGTCAGTGACTTACTAGAAACCTGGTTTGTTCGTCTGTGGTGGTGATAGTTTTTAATTAAAACTACAACTAAACTAAAGTGTTTCGTTTCAGAAAAGATCGTCTCTTAAGTCCCCCACACTTAAGTTTTCAGTGAAGCCCAGACGATGTAAAGAATAAGACTCAGTACAAAGTCCACCGTGGGATGCTTTGTAACTCGTGAAATTCAGAAGTAATTTGTATAAATGTGAATTGCATGTATGAAAAGTTACATTAAAGACACAATGACACAATTTAGAATAAGAGCTGCGTTTTGTCAGCATCTCAGTACTGACAACAATCATGTCTTATACACATTTCTAACTGGTGATAAAAGATACAGTCGTTCTGAGTTTGCATGGAGTCCTTACAACCTACGACATCTGATCAACATCCTCAGCTTTTCGGAGCAAAACTACGAACAACGATGGACAATTTGATATGTAAGAGAGGGCTTCCAAAATAAAATATCTTTAACTTCTTCCTGGCATCTCCTGTTAGCAAATAAATAAGCTAGTCAACACAAAAGATTCTGCTCTACAAAAGATTTCACGGTGCCTGCGCAGCCTCATTTTACAAGTCACTGACAGTTTTCATGGATTTTCACAGCCGTCTCTTTGTCTTTAGGTAAACACCACATACCTGCCATTCCCCCATTTTGCCCATAATTGACATTCTTTGTCTTCTCCTGCCTTTGGTAGATTGATTTTAGTGGTCCTGTGCCGTGTCTATCTCATAGAACCGTCGGTCCCAAAGTAAACCTTTACTTTTTTTACCTGGACCTGATCGCCTCACCTGGTCGTAAAAAAAAGAAAAACGGCGCGGGGCTATTTTTAGACGCATGCGCACTGTTCCGGATATAGACAAAAAAGGAGAATCTACTTGGAAAAAGATTTTAAAAATCCAATTTGTCTGCTGGATAGGCCTGCCATTCTTTGGCCACTAACGTTTTATCAAGGCAAAGGCAATTAACTGAGGTTTGTCAGACAACGGCAGTATAAATAAGCTACTAATCACGGCCACTCCTATAAGCAAAAAACACTTATTATACCTGCAAATGTCGGTTTAAGAAATACCCCAAAATTATGACAGTTTATCTTCATGAGGTGAAGTTTTATTTATGGAAAATCGGCACATTGCGCACACCACCACCATCCGAACGTCTAATAAATAAAGTTTATTTTATTGATGTACAAAATCTGCCAGCAAATTAAGAGCACTCACAATTATAATAAATCACATAAGTTATCTGTTTGTCTTGAACTGCCATAAATGTAAAAAGGACATACAGTACCCGTTAGTCCTGTAAGTCAGTTATCTTTACCCTTTTTCCACAGTTTTGTGTGTTAAAAATGTTTTCTTTTCGCTGCAAATGAAACTGTGTCAAGTTAAAAACTTGAAGGTTAACTGCCAACATCATTACTTCTACACAGAAAACTACCCTGCTATTGTGAGGGTCATTATTTATTTATCCACTGTTTATTTCTAATACATACTTTAGACCCCTCGGGCCAAGAGTGAATGAGCTCTCCCTCTCTCCGTCTCACACACACTCACACACCGATACACACAAACACAGAGACACAGACCAGTGTAACACGTGCGCTCATCCAGGTGATAATGGTCAAAGCTTTAGTCCAAAACCCCATATTCAACTTTCTGACAGACCGAATGCACAGAACAGCACTCCATGCTGTACCTCTCCGATAAATACTTTGTTTTCACAATTGCCTAATTTCAAACAGAATCCGTAGATTTTTGCGGTGTTAATACTTAAAAGACGCCTTCATGTTTGACTTCAAAGGCGAACACATACACGGTACCTGCAGCAGTGTAGACCATACAGGGGCCTGGACCAAACAGAGGGAGGTGTGGGGATCACAAATATTGTTTGGGGGTCTGCGCACTGAGGGAGGAGTAAGTTTTCTAGCAGAGAGCAAGTTACTCTCAGACAGGAACGGGGTCCCTTTGAATATCCAGCCTGCTTGTCTGGGGCTTGGTTTCAACCACTTCCACCGTAGCACCAGGCCTTAGGCAACGATCGGCTTCCTAAAACTTCGATCTGGGTTTAACAGGCGTCGGCAATGACTGCACCTCAGGGACTTTGTACAGCCATTCATATTCAAACACTCGGACTGAATAATAATAATAATAATAATAATGTGTTAGTGGTGTCATGTTGTGTGTTTATGTCTGTGTGGGGTGTAGGATGTAGCACTGGTGGTTTGTGAGATCAACAAATCTTTGCGCGTAACTTATGCGTCCTTCTCGTCAAGCCTTTCTCCTCTCTCTTTCCTTGTAGTTTTGAAATACTGATTGGTGATGGGACGTATTCCTTAGCTCCAAGTTATAAAGGAGTTGGAAGTTCATCGATTAGAAGATGTTCAGTCTCATTTGCAGCAATGATTTTTGGCTACAGACTCGCTCCATCTTAACCGCTGAAGTAACTCTCCCGTCACCAGCAGGTACAAAAGCCCAGTGCAGCCTCGTGAAATCTATGAGCTTGGTGACTGTTGAGTGAGAAAGTTTCAGGATCATTGTGTGAAACGTTGTTCGCCAAGAAAGATCGTGTGTATTCTATCGCCACCTTGCTTCAGAGTGCAAGGGCACCGTGCCCGTGGACTTAACACAATATTGCATGCAATTGAAACCAAATGAGAACGTGTCTGCAACTGTCAAATGGGGGTCAACGGTAACATATACAAAATAAGAGACATATAAAATATGGTCACGGGTCAAAATTTAGGTAAATGTCAGAAATGTTCATCCCTGAAATAGACACAGTTTTCTTCCGATGCCGTAAGAAGTGATGTTTTGTCTAGTCTTTGTGCAGACATTTTCTGAATGTTAAATGAAATATATCTGGAATGGCACTGAGGGGAATATCAAGTCTGGTTAAAGCCTGGAGACGTTGGGGGGGTTAAAATGCAACATAATCTAATCCTGTGGTGCCATCTTGTGGTCGTAAAAATATAGCCAGGTCCAATGTGTCTGCGGATCATCTGCTGTCCTGAAGTTTTGCCAAGGGCCCTCAGTAACCAGAGGCCCATTTAATTTCAAGATTCAGAGAAAGAGCTAACAGGAATTATTGTTTTATAGCTATGCTTTACCACTCTTTTAAAAACAGAACAAATGGGCCTATAACATGTTTTATGAGAACCTGAAACAACAAATGTCCCCATAATGAAGATTTCTTGGCTTATTTGCAAGTTATGTGTGTCATATAATGCACATTACTGTGGGAAGATGGGAAAGATGTGCTCAAGGCAACTTAATATTTGTTAAATGTTAGGCAAAATATCAGATATCTTAACTAATCATCAGTCTTACTGTCGTTATTTTTGTCACCAAAGATAAACATTAAGCCAATTAGGCTGATTGAATGCTATAATGACAATCCCTAAAAATAAGTAATGAAATATATCTTTCAGAAATATAACTGATAACATAAATTGTATATTGTGTTAGAGTCATGCTGGGCACTTAAATTCAGCAAGGCTTTAGAAAAATAACTGAATTTAATTTCAGTTTAAATTTAAATATAACAACATATGAACACCCCGTTACAGAAAACAGTGGCTGAATTTTACCCTTATTACTATTATTATTGGTAATCGTAGAAATTCTGTTGCTCCTGAACGCAGTACCTGGCTCCCAAGCACTACAGACTACATTTCCCATCAGGCACCCTGCCGTGTGATAAGACCAGTGTACCAGTAATTTGTGCTCGGCGGAGACCGCAGTGACAGAGGACAAACTGAAGGAGTAAGGTTGTATTTAGCTACATTTGTGCTTCATGTTTTTATATTTGCCATTCTTTAAAACTCTAATACTCCCACACACGTTGGCATATATTCGCTAAACTGATTACGCCAGCGGATTCAGAATATTCTGTAGGCATTTAAGCCCAGTATGTTTTCTAATGATAGTGGCACTAGTCCATGCTTCTGCTGGGTCCGGGGCTGTGTACAGCAGTTAGTCTTATCAGTTAGTCCTAATAAAACAGACACACAGAGGCTGTTCCTCTGTGGAGCCATAATGTAACCACCTCTGGTAAAAAAACAAAAAAAACAAGCGCAGCTTTCTGACAGGCGGGAACATTTCTTGGATGCGACGATGATTTCATATTTTCTTTTGGTTCCGCTAATTTTCTGTAACAGCTCAGTACTGCAGCGCTCAGACTGTCCTTTAAGCATATTCGCAGCTGTAAGTAATATTAGGTTAGCGAGAGGAAGTTGTCTAAATTGAATAGTAACTGTTTAAGTATGTTTGTCAACTCACTCGAATGCTGTGGCCTAACAGGTGTCCAACATGTCTGTGGATTGGGTTGGATATGGATACGCAGCCCTCATCGCATCCGGGGGAGTCGTGGGTTATGTTAAAGCAGGTTTGTATTGTGTTAAATCAGAAAAGGTGGTGGAAGGTTAGGGTTAGGGTTAGGCTACAATTTACTTTTTCTGAATTTACAATGGTTACAGTTACACTCACCTACTTGATAAATATCCAGTAAATAACATTTGGATAACCTCAGTCATGTAAAGTGAAATTTCTCTTAAGTTCATTCAAATATTTGTAGAAACATGTTACTCCCAAAGTCTGTACATAGCCTGCTCTTCAGGGGTGTGGATGTCAGGCTGATCTGACCTCCTGTGTCTTGTGTCTTTCAGGCAGTGTCCCCTCCCTAGCTGCTGGCCTTCTCTTTGGTGGCCTTGCAGGTTTTGGCGCCTACCAGGTCTCCAATGACCCCAATAATGTTTGGGTGTCCCTTGGTTGGTGCATTGTTTTTGTGTGCATGTGTTTAAACTTGGTAAAGAGTTTCTGGATAAGAATAGTATGTCTCTGCATCCTTGTGGTCCATTCTAATATTTTACATCACATGCTGTCTTTCAGCTACATCTGCAGCTCTGACTGGTATCATGGGAAAGAGATTCTATGGATCCAGAAAGTTCATACCAGCTGGTTTGATAGCTGGAACAAGGTAGCATTCATATGGCTAAACTCATTTTATATTTTTGGTTTGTGTACAACTCCAGTGCTGTGTGAATGGAGTCTGATGGTATCGTCTTGTTCCAGCCTTCTGATGGTGGCGAAGCTTAGTCTGGCGTTGCTTCAGAAACCGCAGGAGTCCTGATCAAGTGAAGACTCATGTGTACGCTGTCTTCTGTTTCAGCACAGACCTGTCAGCTGTGCCATTTATTGTAGAGCATTAATATCATTTTATAAAAATAAAAGAAATATAGTGCTTTGTTTATATAATGGGAATGTTGTCTTGTTCTTCTAATATTAATGCATTGTGAACCTTTATATATTTGTTTGTATAAAATATTTAAAAAATTTCCAGTTTATTAATTGCATAATACAAAAACATTTGTAATTACCTTCCTACAGGTAGGTTGGCATAGGTTGATGTAATTATTATAGACAGAACATTTCTCAGTGAGTCGCCTACAGAATGGTGGATAAAAGCACAGGGAATATAGCATTGCAGGGACTATTGATACAAAGCCGTAGTAAAAGACCATAGAAACTAGAATTAAAAAAAAAAAATGAAAAGGTATGCTACTTTTAAATCCTGTTCAGAATATCCTAACACTAACTGTAGACTTGGCTCCCACTGGATCCTTCAGGAATACAGTGAGACTGACTGGTAGCCAGTACCAGCCTTCATGCATCATGGCAACCTTTGCTCTGAAACAGAGAGTCCATGTACATTTAAAGTTGGTACTACATGTATAAACATCATGACAAATGTCCTTGCAAGGAGTGTGGGGTGTGCCATGCACATCTTGATGCAATTTGTTTCAGGAATCATGCAGCACAAACATTTCCTCCATATTTAGGTTTAAATGTGGTGAAAACTCTCCTCAGGATATTTCTTTCAGCCATTTACAGTTTGTAAACCTATGGCAACACTGCCTGATGAGCAGAAGAAGTGAGTGTGCCTTCTTCCCTTAACTACCGATTTCCACCATACTTGGATGTCCAGTCCACTCTGCCATGGACAGGCTGTACAGCAGGAGCCCTGGCCTGGAGGTTCCCAGAGGTTTTACCCAGAGCTGCGAAGCTGCTACCCTTCACCTGACTCCTTTCTGTCCTCCTCTTCCAGCCTTCGTAATCTAGAGGAACATGCCAATCAGTCAGTTGGTCTTATCACTAATTTACAGAGGCTTCAGTATCCAGAGCCACAGCCACAGGGTCTGAATAGTTTTGTAAATGGGACATTTTGGTTATAGACTTTTTATGAATTTAAAAATCATGTTTTTACTTTGTTTTGGGGGGAAATGACAGTAAAATCTATTTATATTAAAACTACAACACAGGGCATAAAGCTAAGTGGTCTGAAAGGCTATACAGGTGTCTGACTTCATTATCAGACTTTGTAATATGTAATACAGTAAAGAACAAGGTCTTTTCCTCTAAAATGTTAACAGTGACTCAAGAAAGGACCACGAAGTAACACACAAAAAACTCTAATAACTACTAGAAAATAATACCTTCACTTGTTTCACTCAAAGATGAGTTGGATATAGACTTGGGCTTTGCTTGTTTTGGTTTGTCTTTTTTATTATCAGGAGAAGAAGAAAGACTGACTAAAAGAGCAAAGAAACAGGAGAATGAATGGAAGCTTGGATAGAAATGCTGTAAGCAACAAAGTAGACAATACAGAAAATGAGGCATAATGGTCAAGCATAGGATGAACATAGAACCAGCAGTTATGCTTGCAGATGACAGAAGCAGCATTCACTTAAGATCAAAATTTGTGGAGCACTGCGTCCATTTCAACCAGATCAGAGGGTAAGTGTATTGTTATACTCCCAAACTATGATTTTTTTTAAGTGATGTGGCTAAAAGCATCAAGAGTCCTTTCGCTAGCTTCACATAGATGAAATAAGTCCTTACTTGTATGCTGGCCAGCCAGAGGAGTAAGTTGGATTCTCTGTCCCACTGATCCCACCTCTTTCTTTTGAAAGGAAGGGATGTAACCACCGGGGAGGCTGTACTTGGTGCTTACAAAGTTCCCTACAAGAGAAGAAACACTGCATTTTTGTGCTTTTAAAATTCCACCCTCCAGGTACCCAACCAGCATGGAATGTCAGTTATCTTCATGCAATCTACAAATGAAGAACACTAAACACATCTAATAGATGTTCTCACACATTGCTTCACTTATAGTAATGATTTATGTGAACGTGTGTAATTAGCTGCTGCATATGTAACAGCTACTGAGAAGCCAGACAGAAGAATAAAGCCAAGTTGACTGAAGTCATTCCACTTTTCAAGTGACCATCGATCTGCTTCAGAAGCAGTTACAGATGGTTATCACTATAATTAGTCAAAAGCCTCATTGTGTGATCTGATGTGGAATTTACCATCTATTTAGCAACTGCAGTTCTTAGTTCCCAGGTTAAACTGTGTATTTGAACCGCTGGCTCCTGCAGAGTCTTTAGCAGCTAGCTTCTTTCATATGTTAAGTCACTGGCTGAATACCTGAAGCTTGTTGCATCAGCCACCATGCTGGTTGTTAGTTTATCTCATTTTACCCTCGAGCTGTTCTAACTAAAGTTGCAGTTGTTAGGTATTTTTAGTCAGATAGAAATTGGATAGAGACTTTATGTATTAGAAATGTTTAGTGGAGATAGGATGTCTAGTTAGACTGTTAAATGCTTAGTCATGCTTATGAGTTTCTACAGGGTACATCTGGTCAAGGATAACTAGAAAGAGAAGTTGATGACTGTCAGCAGACAGGGTGTTAATATTATTATAATGACGTGTATAACTGTAGCCTTAGCCATAATATGTTCTTATGTTTAAGACACGACATGTTACTAGAGGTCGTGTGAGAATGTTTTTAGCTACACACCACTTAATCAACAGACACACACACACACACATTGATTTGCTTCATGTTTTGACTACTGCTATGGCCAGCTGCAAAGCTGGCAACAGAGACGTCTCGGTTGACGTTTCTGTGTAGTATGGGGCTAGCCCAACCGAGGTGATAATAAATCAGCACTGTTTTGAAGTTACTTGGACTGCCTCGTCTCTCAGAGTTAGCAATGGTAAGAAGAACCACAGTCCTTCACAGTGTTTGTACATGAAAGATATTTAGCATGACTAGTAAAATACAGTAAAGGAGTCAAAAATATGTCGATTTATACCACTGCTTCCAACTGTACACACAGCATCTCAGTTAAATACCTTTGGAGAGATCAATTTTCTCCAATATTCTTTCTTTAACAACTGTTTTTTTGTTTCTGGTGGGCTATCCACAGCCTTAGAGGTGTTCTCTTCTAGTCTCACATCAAAACATATGGACATATGCATGCAATCAGAAAAAAAGAAAATGAGAGAAACTATGAAGCTGCATCTCAGCTAATGTTATCAGAAAGGTAATTAAATAATAATAAAGACCCTTTTTATTTTAATGAGAGATTATATTCAAGACAAACAGTGTGTGTTTAAGTGCTTGGGGGTGGGACAAGCGAGCAGGGGGTGCAGTTCATGGCCATTTAAGGAACATTTGATCTTATGGCAATAGACTCTCAGAATCTCATGAATAAGAAATGGAAAGAGAGAGACAAGGTGAAAGAAAGAGAGAGAAGGAGGGAGCCCAGCAGGGGAGCAGGACCCATAGTGTGTGTCTGTCTACACGGCAAATGATTTATAGTGGCCTCCCATCCCTAAAGCCGCAGAAACTTAGGCTCACTCCAAACATTGCTTTTGTCCATGCATGGGCTCTTAACTACTGATCAGGAGACAGCTGTCGTATTATTTAACAGTAGGTGACACTGACAGTTGTCAGGTTTCCACCGCATGGAACAATGAGGCAAGTCACTGTGCACTTATTATTTATATCACCAAATAAGTGAGATTTTTTCCCAAGTATAATTTTGTTCCCAAACCATATATTAGCTCAGTTATAAATTCTGAAAACAGTTTTGCTAAAAGGTTTCATTTTTGGTCCACAGCTGGTAGAGTGTATTATTTCAACAGTTCTATTCAGATTTTGGGCAAAATAAACAATTTAGAAAGTTAAATATTTACTGAAGATTCAGGGTACAAAAAATGTAATGTAATATTTGACTTAAAAGCCCTTGATTTGTATTGTCTTTTTGTTATAAACTGGTTGTGATAAATGCAATAAAACACATGTGTTACCTTTCTGCCTTAGCTCTACGAGCTGCTAACAGAAAGCACAGTTATTGTGTTAGATACACGTTCTTTAAAATGTCAGTGAAATCTGGAAACCTGAGCCGCTACCACTACACCTTCATCAAACCTCTTCATCAGATGGAAGCTGTTTTTTTACCTGTGTTGACTCTGGTGACAGCTAATCCTCCTCCAATAGGAGCAGGTGGTTTATTTACAGTGTTTGAGGAGTTTTCCCATAGGTCCCGGAGAGTCATACCACTCAACTCCTTATCTCCCAGAGAAATCTGATTCTTGCCAATCAAGCCTTAAAGCAACAGAGTAAGTGCATATCTGTCATCCTATTGCAGGCTTTTTGTGATTTTCATATAGTTCGATTGAAGCTTGTTTCTGAGCAGTACTCAATGTTGGAACAATGACGCAAAACCAAAGAAACACACAATTGCTTATAATATCTAATTTGTGCAGACCTATTTGCAGAAATAAAGATGGCCTGACTTCTTACTTGTCTTACCTGGCAAGTATCGTGACTGACTGAGGTAGTGCTGCCGTGCAGCAGATCCTGGAAGGTCAGAGTCGAGTTTGCCTATTTTAATATTGTTGGGTAGCTTGGTAACTGTGCTGAAGGAATACAGAGGTTTCTGCTCCTTGGGCCTGAAAATAGGAACCAAACACTTAGTTCTTTGCCCAGAAAGCATCTAGTACTTTGATACAATTGCATCCGGTTAACTCTTGAATGTGAGTCCTATTAGGCAAAAAATATACTGTATATATATAATGCATGTACATGTGCATGTATATGCCAGCACAGTCATGGCTAAACCTATCTCACACTTGGTGTTCTGCAATAAACAATAACAATGCAAACCAGTGTCAATAAAATAATATTTGTTTATTTGTTTTTAATGGGGGGGTTGTCAAATTGCTAATCTAATCTTGTTAAGACATCCCAGCACTTACTGTGGACGGTGCTCCTTAAGGCTCCTCTCCTCCTCTATGTTCCCTAGGCTGGGTTTTTTGGAGTTGGAGACCGCAGTTTCTGATGAGTCGAATTCCTCCCAGCTGTCTGAGATCTTGGATACCATCTGGCCCCAGCGACGGCGGCCGCTTTTCAGCACCCCTATCCCACCACCGCCAAAACTGTTCTCACTGCCCAGCGATACTGCTTTCTGCAGAAGGAGATGATACAGTAAGTGTCCACACTAACTGTCACATCTGGATTGATAAAATCTCTTCTAACTCAAACTCACTGCTACATATGTTGTACTGCAATCCTGTCCTCCTAGAAGACTATAAATCTAACGTTCAGTGCATAGCTGAAGCCTCATGGTTTACTCACAGCTTGTGGCAGGGGGATCTGCTGCTGCTTCTGATTTCTGGGGGAGGATGTGGGGGCGTTGTACTCAGAGGAAGGCTGCTGGGGATCAGCCTTGGACTCTGAGGCCTGCTTCTGGGCCAGCGGCCTGGCTTGGACATTCTTGAGCTCCTGACTTTGAGGACAAGGCCCCAAGACCTGACCTACCTGGAAGTATGGGTGACGCAGGGCCTAGACAGAAAGAAAAAAAGAATAACCCCATTCAATCATTTGTACACCATAAGACTAGAGTCAATGACTTCTTCAAACCCTGTGCATACAAATAACATGAATCAGAACACACTGTAACTTGCATGGTCAAACTGCAGGGAGGTGTGCTTTGATGTACAACATGTTCTGTTAAACTTAAACACCAAACAAGTACAATGGGTTGTTAGGTATTTTTAGTCAGATAGATATTGGTTAGATACTTTATGTATTAGAAATGTTTAGTGGAGATAGGATGTCTAGTTAGACTGTTAAATGCTTAGGCCTGCTTATGAGTTTCTACAGGGTACATCTGGTCAAGGATAACTAGAGAGAAGAGTTGATGACTGTCAGCAGACAGGGTGTTTAATATTATTATTATGACATGTATAACTGTAGCCTTAGCCATAATATGTTCTTATGTTTCAGCCACGACATGTTACTAGAAGTCGTGTGAGAATGTTTTTAGCTACACACCACTTAATCAACAGACACACGCACATCGATTTGCTTCATGTTTTGACTACTGCTATGACCAGCTGCAAAGCTGGCAACAGAGACGTCGCGGTTGACGTTTCTGTGTAGTATGGGGCTAGGCCAACCGAGGTGATATAATGTACAGGCCTGGTGGGTTCAGGGTCTTTCATCTTACATCTATCTGCGTGCAGTTTGGGGGTGCACGATGCCTGGGCGTGTAATGTTAATTTTTACCTGTGTTCATGGAATAAATCAGCACTGTTTTGAAGTTACTTGGACTGTCTCGTCTCTCAGAGTCAGTATGGTAAAAAGTACCGGGTACAACAGGCTTGACAAAGAAGCAGGAGCATGTTAGAACTAAGGATATGCAGTTTAAGCAATGAATATGCTTCCTATCTCAACATAAAGCAAAACTGGGCTAAATTTAAATGTGCACCCTACACCCAGGAGTTTTATAAGCAAAGAATGGAAAAGCATTGTCATTCCCACTGGAGAGGTGTTTCCTAGTCAAGGCACACAGACTAATTTTAGTCATGTCACTGGAGCATAAATTCTGCCCAACTATGTAACCACCATGTATAATGAGTATATGTGATGTAGAGCACACATGCAAAGGTACACGATTTTGCAGTGGCAGAGGTAATGAAATGTAACTTACGCACTACTTAAAGGAACTGGGATTATAATTCTAATGCGATATTGGAACTAAAGATAATTGCATATAGTGGTGAGTTCTGCACTGTAATATAAACTCATTCTCTGAGGGCAGGTATACTTTTAGGTCTAACTGAAAAGATTTCTTAGAATCCAAGTTATGCTCAATCTTAGAAATCAATCCAAGTGTTTTTTCATAAAGCACAAGATTACAAATGTTTGTTGTGGCTGGTCATAAGGAATGGCAAGACTGGGCCTTTACAAATTTTTATGATTTTTTTTAATTAGCTTGATCTTCAATATTACAATATATGTTAACGTACTGAAAAGATTTAACACTTTCACTCACAGTACTTGCCATTTACATTGAAAAGATATGAGAAATAAAACCTTGACTCAGAGGTTCTGAGGTTCAGCCTTGCCTACCTGTACAGCGGTGGGTCTTTTTTTGGGGTCCCACTTTAATAAGTCCTTCATCAGGGAAATAGCTTCATTGCTGGCATTTGGGATCAGGGTCTTCAGGTGGGTTGGTACACATTGCGGGAAGCGAAAGTTCATGGCAGAAGAGAGTTGGTAGCCCTCTGGCCAGTCAGTCTAATGGAAAACACAATCAGATTACATATTTTTTGATTCATTAATCTGGTGTCTACAGATTGAAAGTGAACATAGGTGAACTAAATAATACAATCAAGCAACAGTGTATCCAATAAGGGGACTCATGTACTGTTGCTTGATTGTGTTAATTAGTTCACCTGTGCTTAGGTGTAGTATTGTTGCTGTTTTTCCATTATCATTAATACATCTTAGAATCCATACACCGTGCTAAACTATGTTTTATAAACATGTACACTATATAGGACTCCATAAGCAAGCATGGTCTCAGTACAACCAAATAATGTATTCTGCACAATTTCTGTCCACTGTAGAACATGTCAGTCACATTAGAAAATATGGTGTGTTGTGTCAGAGATTACAGACCACATTTTAGGTCTGGGTTCAAGATCAGTATATATGCCCTGTGACTGAACTAACAAATGCCTGGTGGATCAAATATAATATTACATACAATAATAATAATACCATAAAAATGTACAACCCTATATTACACTCTTGTATGCTAATAAACCCAGAACCTCAGAAGCCATGCACCAATGACCAATGTAACGTACACAGCAGTAGTACTGAGTGACTCCTCTTGTGCTTGAGATTATAGACTCATTTCCTGAGCAGGTCATAACCAAAAGTGGGGTCTAAAGGTTCTCTACTTCAATCACAGTGAATGGAGATGAATATAGGGAAAGCCTTTGAAATGAAGTGGTATCCTGTTGAGCATAGAGCCGTGTTAAGCCACTTTACACCACAGAGAGAGCAGGTCAGGAGCAGTGAACTAGCGCCAAGCATTTTCACCTCTCCATTTAGTTTCTTCTCACCTTTTTGACAGTGCCCAGAACTTGGCAGATCTTAAAAATCTCATCCACTTCACTGTTTCCAGGAAAAAGAGGTCTCAGTGTGTAAAGTTCAGCCATGATGCAGCCCACAGCCCACAGGTCAATAGGAGAGCTGTAGGTAGACGACCTGAGCAGGACCTCTGGAGCTCGGTACCTTGACAGAGAACATACAGTACTTACATACAGCCAAAATACAGCCCAGTTCAACTAAAATTACCACTTCACAGTTGTATGCTTCCACCAACCAGGCAAAATCACAGGTATGAGACAGAAGTGAGGTCAGTGACCTTGAACTTGACCTCCAAAATCTAATCAGTTCATCCTTAATTTGTGGCAAATTTGAAGAAATTCACGGACGTACAAACAGACGGACAACCTCAAAACAAAATGCCTCAGGCTGCGGCTATCGCTGGAGCTGAGGCGTAAAAACATAAAAGCAGACTGCACAGTATGAAATTTAAAGTATAACATTAAGCTCTAGCACACTGTCATTTATGCATAGACATTCTTTTTTATTTTAGATAGACATTGATGCCAATAAACTGCTCTCACCATCTGGTTGATACATAGTCGGTGTAGGGAGGTTTGGAGCGGATCTCTCTGGCCAGTCCAAAGTCACCTATTTTGACCAGTTCTGGGCCCATGCATAACAGATTCTCTGGCTTCATGTCTCGATGAAAGAAGCCTGTAGAAGTGTTCATACCAAGCTGTTAGCTACCTTTTACTGGACTAATAGTAAAATTGCAGTCAGCAATTAGAGGGTAAATGCTGTGTAAAATCCAGACAAGACAAACCAAGGAGCTGGCGGGTGGGTTTGCTAGCAACAATGAAAGGTTTGAATGCCTGTGTATTTCACATCCACATCATTTACTGTAAGCAGGGCCAAGCTGTTTTAGCTGCCAAACTTTGCATGTGCAGTACTTTAGTTGTCACGCATTGGCAGCATGTTTCAGTTACAATAAATATTGGCATCATTTATGATACGTTGAAGAAAGAGGTAGCCAAGGTGACATTACATGAATACGCACTGTGACATGCAAAACAATTCATTTTTTTAATAAAAGTCTTTTGATTAATTGTATCAAGGCACTATAATGTTTGGTGTCATAAACAAATATATATTGGCCCAGGTCTATTTGGAATACATCTAAGCATATGCAGTAACATATACACTGGCCAAACAGAATATACAAGCACATTTAGATATCTGAGGGTCATATTAATAAGATGCTTTACAATATCAGACATGCTCTAAAAAAGTAAAGGTTATACTATTTTTGCACGAGGAAAGAATGACAGAGGAAAGCCTCTTACCATGCTTATGTACAAAAGCCAACCCAGATAGCACTTGAAACATGATGTTCCTAATTTCATTCTCTGAGAACATCTTATCCTCTCTAACAGAAGCCCAAAGAGATAGAAAAGTCAGGAAAGAGGAGGAAATTAAATTTTTTTTTTTTTTTACTGTAAAGAGAAATGGAAGTCCTAAAAAAAACAACCATGTCTACCTACTGGATGTGTGGAAGTATGTGTACAGTATGTATGGCACAAGCAGGCTGTCTGTGAGTGCGTATAAGTTAGCTTTTGTCTTGTAAAACTTTTAAAACCTGACCCAATTCTTTATATTTTGAGGATAAGCTTGCAACAGTACATACAGTACGAGGCACCCACACATCCATTCATTACAGCAGCATAGACCAATGCAGAGGATTATAAGACACAGGCCAGTCACCGAGGGTTCACATACTACAAGAATCAGAGCAATGTAAAACCAATTCGACCATGATCATTGGTTGAAATAGTCTATATTTTATAGCTTTATGATTTTTGAATGATTTTGAAACTGTATATTTGTCCAATGAATCTTGCCATATGCAACCACTCTCATGCACTTATAAGGGAACATGATACACCTACCATTTTTGTGAATAAATGACAAGCCTTGTAATATCTGAAAGCTTATGTTTCTTATCACTGATTCTGGGAACAATTTTTTTCTGCAAACATAAAATCGATAGAATTCTCGTGAGCCTGTTCATGTAAGCACCAGTAAAGAAACTGCATTGTTTGTATCTGCACACATTCACTGATATAATATGCTGAAAAACAAAGCGTCCATGAAAAATACATGTAAACTAACTGTAAAACATCAGTGGCTTCCAGGACTAGTCAGCTTGATGCTTCTCACAGACAATGCACGCCTGGTCTATAACTAGACCACAGCATTATACATCGAGTTGAACTATTTATATTGTAGGATGTGGTGTTTCTCTTCTTACCTGTCCTTCATAAGCTCATAGAGGTTCTCCTTCATGTACTCGAAGACAAAGTACAGGTGATCATTCTCTCTGATAACCTCCTTTAGTTTGATCACATTGGCATGGTTCAGTTTCTTGAGTGACTGGTATAACACACCATAAGATTAGGTAAGAAAAATAGCATTGTGTATTGTAATAGCAAGTTTATGTAGAGTTAATGACATGTTTATAATAGGGATGTGTTTTACAATGGCATTGGATGCTTACAACTGTTGATCAGGAAATGCAAACTACTGTCAAACTGTTTCAGAGTAATGGGTGTACCTGGCATGGTATTGTAAGGTGCACAGTGTATGATTTTAAAGCAGGAGTTACATGGCTGCATTACAATAGTTTAGAGGCTGTACACACAGGAATGCTTTTTGGACAACTGTGACTGGCAACAGTATTTTCTTTATGAAATAAGGAAAAGGCTCTAACACTGCTGTACAGTGCAATGTTTGTTTACCAGCAGTGAAAATGGAACTGTAATCACTCACATGAAGTATAGAAGCTCCCACCCCACTGTGTTATTCATGTGTTCTAGATAATCTCTTTATTTTACTTGGTACTCATCTATCTTCTGACTTTTCAGTATCATTAGCCAGTTTAAAACATGTCTTATAAAAGTAATCCAAAAGTAACTAAATGTAATAACTTACATTCCTTTAATGAAGCAATTCAAATAGATCAATTTCTTATTACATTTTTAACAGGGCAACCAGTACTTTGTAACCTACTACATTTTAAAAGTAGTCTTCCCAACACTAATCACAGCATATTTTCAACTCCTGACTCTCACTGTTGCCAGTCACTGGGAGTACTGCTTCTCTAACTGTTACATAAACTACTCAAAGTGTCACTGTCCTCACTTTCACTTCTCTTAGGTTCATGCACTCTTCCCATGAATAAAACTTCCTCTTCATCCTATGAAAGTCAAAGACAACCAAAGAAAAATACACATCAGATATGCATATGTGCTAAAAGAATTGCAACAAAAAAAAAATCTTTCATGTGCCTCCATCAATAATTCAGCTTTTTTTAGATGTTACTATAGTCAGTTCATCTTATTTCATGAGAAAACCATAACCATACTGCAGTATGTGTTGCTACAGTATGTACAGTAACGTTACCTCTCCCTCACTATCTTGTTCTCCTCGCTGAGCAGCTGCCAGCTCTGGCTGTCCCTACAATGTCAGCAACCTGACTCCTCCACTCCTCCTACTTTCACTCCCTTTCACTGACACACTTTATTGCCTTGCATATTAACCAAATGATCAACCAGTGGATGCATCTCCAGTGTCTCATCTATTATTGAACCCTGCTGCCATGCTGCTAAAGAAAGCCATAAGCTAGTTTGTTCAAGACAGCAGTACTCTTTAATACTAATCATTACTATGAATATCTGTTAGTATGAAAATTATCCATTAAATCTCAAGGTGAAAAAAAAAATCCAAGAATTATTAGCATCCTCACCTCTTGATAGCCACCAGTTCCCCAGACTCGTTGCTTCTCCCCATCAGCACGCTGCCATAGGTACCATCACCCAGCTGTTTCAGAGTAGTGTAACGATTCATCATCTCTCAAGACAGTTTTATCAGCTTTTTAGCTTTCCTTCTGCGTGAACCAACTCGTAGAAACACACTTCTGGTTCATGAATCAGATGTCTTTCCTGTTTCCTATTATACCCAGCTGAAGAAATGTTCTGTCTTTGTTTCACCAGTCTTCTCTCAAGACAAGTTCAGCTACTCTTTTTTTTTCCAGGATGAAGTATTTTCACAATGTTCACCAGTTTTTGAAGTTCAAAACTCATCTTGCACTAAATGATCCATTGTCAGAAATGTTAGATCCTGGAGCTACAGGTCAGCCAACAGTCGACGCCGTGTCTGCAAGCCTTCAGTGACATAAAAGAAATGAACATTATCAATAACACATCCAGTCATTTCAGCTACAAAAATATAAAAACACATAACAAATACCAGTTATTTGTCTTACCCAGCCATTTAAATTCCTACATAACAGGATTTTTTAGAGAGCTGAGAACAAAGATATGCTAGGGCTACTTCTAGCTTTTCCCTCGGTACGGAGGATTAGGTGTGTTACCCTAGTAGGAGGCTCCAACACCACCCAAGGGAGATGACATAGCCAGTCGTAGACCGATTACGGCAACAGGGATGTAAACAGGATATTACATCACTATCATGCTTACAAGCATCCACTACCTTTCCTAGACACCCTGCCCAGCAAGAGGATTAGACTGACACTACAGACCACAGTGATCACAGTGCTACTGTATGTTGTATGTTCTGCCTAATGAACCTTTAAAAAAATTACAGAAGTAAAACAAGCAAAAAAGTCATTGTAATTCTTAGGTGGCACTGACTTACTCTGTCTTCCACCAGAAAAGCTGCCACTGTTCAGTTTTACAGCAGACTGCAACATACCACCCTTTCATGCAGAGATCATATCTACAGATGCATTCTCACATTGAACTCACATGCCTGATAAACAAAATGGTAGGCTGAGTAGCCACCGTGAAACTGTTTAGTTTATTCTTTTCCAATGTTTGATTGTCCAATAGACATTCAGTTTCTCAAAAAAAGGCCCAGACTTTATTTTATACTATCATAATATCCTGAAATAATTTAATAATGTCATAATAACAATATTATTACATTATTGATATTATTATTGTCATGATAATATTATTTAATCATATAATAATACTCCAGTGATTAGACATGAATATACAGACTACAGCTTTTAGGACATGGGGCTCTGGGCACAAACTGGTAAAAGGCCCCAGACCCACTGGTGACCCAACTGGATCACCAGTTGTTTAGTGTATCTGTTTATTTATTCTGTATCTCCTTATGGTAGTCTTGCATCTTTTTGTGGTTGTTCTGTGTCTCTTTTGATAGTTGTGCATCTCTTTTTAGTCCCTTTATGGTCCTTGTTTGTGTCTTTTTTGTTGTTTTAAAGTCTATTTGTGATGGTTTTGTGTGTCTTTACATTGATTTTGCATCTATTTGTTGTCCTCTGACTGAGCTGTATACGTTCAAAACAAGAAATATTAACTGTCACTTCTTATACAAGCTCTGGCCCAGGTCCCCCTGAGCTCTTAGGCCCCTGGGCCTGTGTCTAGGCCCATTGGGTAATCTATCCATGATGCTGCTGTGTGCACTGCATGTCTGTAGCACATGCAGAGTTTCATAGGTAAATGTACCCTGATTTATTCTACAAAGCCATGGCTGCTTAGGCCAGCAAGTGGTATTTGAGATTCGATGTACTCTGGTGGTAACTCAATTCACGTCGACAGTATTAAATAAACCCTTTGTGACGGTGAGAGGAGGGACCAAGAAGTTACTAAAAAAGCTTTGCCTCCTTTATCAACTCATATAAAGTTACTCACAAGCAGGGCAGTTGGTACAGGTGGATGTGGTTAAGCAGCAGTGATTATGTGCACAACTGCAGGACTGGACTGAAAAACAGCATCTATACTCTCACGTAATAATGGTAATGATGATGTCAAGGTTGGACTGAAAAACAGCATCTATACTCTCCCGTAATAACGGTAAGGAAGATGTCAAGGAACACCCTATCTATCTATCTAT